CATGCTGGGCCAAAGGAATCCCAGGAGGAGCAGGCTTGAGGTGGGTGGAGGGCAGGAGGGCCTTCAGGATGGCCAGGGATGGTCCGGGAGTGGGGGGAAGGGGGGATGAGGACCCGACAACCCTGCTGGAGGTGCAGATGTGTGAGACTGAAGAGAGGGCACTCCTTGGGAGCATTTAAGGTGCAGTGGGAGAAGGAGTCCATAGCAGAGAGGAGGAGCTGCCAGAAAGGCGGGTGACCAGGGTTGCAAAGGGACGAGGAGGGGAGGAGGAAGGGAGAGGACGAGGAAAGAGCAGGGTAACCGGGGAACTGCGACTTTTCACAGCCTGGTGGGTTTTAAGGGGTCAGGCTGCAAGGGCCAGGCCTTGCTGGGGAGAGGATGACAGAATGAGTGGGTGTGGCCCAAGACACACACGTTGTTTTAAAAGATAGAACAGCCGCAATGATAGAACATAACATAACATTAGCGTCACCCTACCCCCCATCCTGAGTGCCGATGGCCTCCTGGACAACATCTTGTGTTTTAAGATATAATAGGAAATTCACCGTGCATGGCTGTGCCAGTCTCGTAGTCCCAGATACTTGGGAGGCTGAGGCAGGAGGATCGCCTGAGCCCAGAAGTTCGAGGCTGTGGCGAGTTGTGTTGGTGCCACTGTGCTCCAGCTTGGGTGAGGGAGACCCTGTTTCTGTTTTTTAAAAATAAAATAAAAAAAGTAATGATAGCTAGCACTCATTGGGGCTCGGCTTTGCTGTGTTATTTAATTTCTACCTCTCAACAGTCCTTCGAGGCAGTATTATTCTCATATCCATTTTACAGAAAAGGAAATGGAGGGATAGAGAGGTGAAGTGGCTTGCTCAGGGCCATGCAGGTAGCATGTGGCAAGTACTCAAGTAGAGCAGGCATGGAGATTCTAAAAGGCTGGAGACCTTTTATTATTACTGAAGGAAATTAATCTGCAGAAAGGAAGAGGTCAGAAGCTTGTGAGAGGAGGCAAGCCTACATGGGGGCAGCCTCCGAGGTGGGAGGGAGCTGTGGCCAGGAGGCTTGCTGGGGCGTTTGCTTTGGGGATCGTGCTGAGGAAGAGGTAGGGAGTGAGGTTTGTTTTCTTGCAAGCATTCTCACTACCGAGCTAAGAAGAAAAATGCACTCTTGGGCCCTTCCATGTGACTCTGTTTTGCTTTTAGACCCACTCAGTGTGTTCCAGATCCTGACGTAGGGCTCTTCCGGGGAGTCTAGACCAGTTGGTATACACACTATGTCTAAAACACCAGAAAACACCTTGAACAATCCTTTGGGATGTTACTTTAAATTCCTCTCCTTTTTCTGGGTGAAACTTACTCATGTATTTCTAGGAATTAGGTTATCAGTGGCACCCTGTATTCCCACCCCGGTTATGGATGTGGGCTGGCATGACTTCACAGTTGCACTATATATTTTATGATTCTCATTTTCACAGGCTATAAAAGCATGTAGATTTATCAGGAAAAAAAGTGCCTTAATTTATTTTTATGGGGTCTTTCCGGCAAGTATTTTTTGCTAGAGGAGTTTAAATTATGTAAGGACGGATTGTATTTTTACAGATTGTATAGAGATTTTGTTCTCAAAACCACCCAACATCTGCATAATGATCAACAGAGAATAGATGTGCAGACTTTAATTTTTAATGTGACTTGATTTCTTTTTTTTGAGTCGAGGTTTCACTCTGTCATCCAAGCTGGAGTGCAGTAGCATGATCACAACTCACTGTAGCCTTGACCTCCTGGGCTCCAGCGATCCTCCCGTCTCAGTCTCCCAAGTAACTGGGATTACAGGCATGCACCACCACACCTGGCTAATTTATTTATTTATTTTTTTGTAGAGCCGAGGTCTCACTTTGCTGCCCAGGCTGGTCTCGAACTCCTGAACCCAAGCAATCCTCTCACCTCGGCCTCCCAAAATGCTGGGATTATAGGTGTGAGCCACGGTGCCTGACTATGACTTGCATTTTAATTATTTATTGATTTATTTGTTATTTATTTATTTTTGAGTTGGAGTCTCACTCTTTGTTGCCAGGCTGGAGTGTAGTGGCACACTCACAGCCACCGAAGCCTCGACCTCCAGGGCTCAGACGATCCTTCCACCTCAGCCTTCCAAGCCGCTGGAACTACAGATGCACACCACCACGCCCGGGTAGTTTTTGTGATTTATTGTGGAGATGAGGTCTCACCAAGTTGCCCAGGCTCGTCTTGAACCCCTGGGCTCAGGCAGTCCTCTCTCCTCAGCCTCCCAAAGTGCTGGGATTACATTTTTAAAGCAGCCACCTTGGCACTCGTCTAAAAGGCTGCCTTTCGTGTACCAAAATCTGGAAAGTAAAAAAATCTGCTGAACTTTTATAGGAAACCGGATGGACCGTTGCCTCTGCCCTCCAAAGTGGCAGCTTCCATTGCCTTTGTTTTGTTTCCCTCTAACTTCTGTGGGTCTGGTTTATCAAAACATGCATTGATTCATCCATTCCATCATTCATTCTCTATTCTTCACTGAATGCTGATAGTGTACCCAATAGTGGAGCAGGGTTGACAAGGCCGTCCTTGGTTGACACCTTCCAAATTGGGGCCCCCTTACATGGCTCCTCCACAGATTCTGGGGTCTGGAAACACAGGCAGGTCTTTCTCTGTGATCATAACTCGTGGGCCAGTGCCTTCAGGAGTAATGCAGGCAGTGCTGGCCAGTGAGTAGATGCTAGACGGTGGCTCATGAATGAATGAATGAGTGTTGGTTTGTGCTCAGTTGATGAGTTAAAGAACTTCCAGTCCAGCATAAGCAAAGAAGGTCTCACCAGGAATAACAGCCATGGTCACGTGAGATTAAATGTTAATACTTGACTGGACTTGGTGGCTCAGCCTGTAATCCTGGCACTTTGGAGGCTGAGGCAAGTGGATAGCCTGAGCCTGTGGGTTCAAGACCAGCTCAGGCAACTTGGCGAGACCTTGTCTCTACAATAAACCAAAAAATTAGCTGGCGTGGTGGCATGCACCTGTAGTTCTGGCTACTTGGAAGGCTGAGGTGGAAGGATCCCTGGAGCCAGCAGGTTCACACTGGGGTGGCTGTGAGGGTGCCACTGCACTCCAGCCTGGGTGACAGAGTGAGACTCCAACTCAAAAAAAAAAAAAAAAAATAATAAATTCTGATACCTTCCGGAAAAGGCTCAGAAATTATTCTCTGAAGGGTACATGTTTTTCTTGTGTGTCACTTACCATTACTATTATTATTTGTAATTCCTTCTAGTTGTCTGTTGGGATCATGTCCTTTCTGAGTGGGGTGTTAACACTGAGGCTTCCAGAAACCCTTGGGAAGCCGCTGGCAACTACTTGGGAGGAGGCTGCGAAACTGGAAGCAGAAAATGACAGCACTTCAAGAAAATTACTTCCCACAGCTGATAATATTGTGCTGGAAAAAGTAGATGTGATTAACCCCCAGGATCCTGGTCTTGGTGAATAAATGCGCCCTGTGTGCTGTCTGGCACCTGGAACAGTGTTTGCGCAGAAAACCTTTGTGCTAGAGAGACATTCTCATCTCCCACGTGTCGCTTATTGTGTCTTTTTACTAAATTTTGTAAGAAAGTGTTAAAGCAATTGTTTTGTAAAAGTAAAAGGAATTTAAAAATTCTCATTTTGTAAGAAAGTTTTTAAAAGAATTGTTTTGTAAAAGTGAAAGAAATAAAAAGAGATTCTCATTTTTAAAATGTAACTTAATTTTTTATGGTATATATTTTCTATTTTTGTTTATTTTATATTATTTAAAGATGTGGGGTACAATTCAGGCTTAGGTATACAAATGTTCATTACGCAAGTACCCTTGTTGATGAGGCGTGCCCCTCCCTCGCCTGGCAGATTCCTACTACTGACAATCCTTTTCTTACAGTATTGCGATAATTGTTCAAGGTCTACTTGTGAGAACATGTGATACTCAGTTCTTTGTTTCTGTGATAGGTCAATCAGTATTATAGATTCTAAGTCCACCCAGGTTGCTGTGAAGTTCATAATTTTGTCCTTCTATATGGCTGCGTAATATTCCATCATGTGTATGTACCACATTTTTTTCTAATCCTCTTTCAATGGGCAGCACAGTTGGTTTCACGTTTTTGCTATTACATTTTATTTTACAGATGTGGGCTACAATTCAGGATTAGGTAGATAAGTGGTCATCGTACAGGTAAAGTTTGGGCTTCTCTTTGGTCCCCCTTTGCCTGGTTTGAGATCAGGTATCCTTATTGATGTTATGTGCTCCCCTCCCTCCCTGAAAAGTCTCATTTTTAAAACCATGTCTGGAGCCGGGCTTGGTGGCTCAGCCTGTAATCCCGCGCCTTTGGGAGGCTGAGGTGAGTGGATTGC